AGCTTATTGAGACTATTCATCCCTCAACAAGCTCCACAGGGCTGCTCATGAGAGGAAGCATAGGGCAGCACTGGTATATAAGCCAGGCAAGGGATGCAGTAACATGCAGGTCACAGCAGCGTGCCCACATTCCTTCTCCCGCATTGTCAGCAAGCAACACACGTGCATGGAATTGAATGAATTCTCCTTCTTTTGCGGTAAACCTGCAGTTCTGTCACATTATTTTCTGACCTCCAGAGAAGAACATTTAATTAGTCATGTCGATAAAATGAAATTCCCAGTCAAGTTGGACCTCATCAGGGTTCCAGTGATATGGCCAGAATTAAACTATATGGAACTAATCTGTCCGACTCTGCGTGTGCAATCAGACTTGCTAGGAAAAATGTCTGTTGCTTTTAAGTAAGAGGTATTTTAAATGGTGTCTGGCAATTGCTTAGTAATTTGAGATTTCTAGGTAACAGTAGTATAGTTTGCAAATAAATACAACATTCTCTGATGATTACTTCCTTGTTCTGTTTCTTTGATGTTATCACCATTAGTACTGTATCACCACTGTTAAAAACAATTTCTTCCTGTTTCCTCTTACAAGTCACCCAGTGAATTCCATGGAGGTCAGTTCTCAGAGTAAGAAATAGGGAGGAGGAGAGGGAGGAATGAATTAATGAATGGATGGATGGGTGGATGGATGGAAGGATGGATGGATGGATGATGCTGGTCCATGGAAGGGAAGATAGAGACTACAGACTGCCAGTGAAAGCCTAACATAAGGAATACGGTCCCAGAGTAAAGGGATCATTTTCTTCATCTTTCTGAAAATTGTTTAAAACATGAGTAGAGCCTTCTTTGTCCCCTTTCCTCTCCCCTCTCTTTTTCATTCTTTCTTCTTCTATCAATTAGGAGGACTAATCATATCTCCCAGTAATTCACAGTATCTAATGATTATTTATGGCTAGTCATTTTTCTCTTCAATGCATTTTTTACCTTGCCTTGTTCCAAAAAAGATGTGAGATAACTTTAAAAATACATAACAATATAAAAATTTAAAAATGGGTTACTGAAGAAATTGCTCCCAAGGGACAAAGAGAAAGCCATTTCAGCAGGAGAAGTAAATTCAAATTGACTCTGTGACACCTAAGTTCATAAAATCACAACCAACCAGGTGCCAAAAGAGAAGCAGAGCTGCTTTTGATACAGCGACTGCCTGGGCCCTCCTCTTTGATGAGCGGTGGGAGGCAGTGAGCTAGAAGTTACAACTACTACACGAGAATCTGAACTACTGATGACTCAGTGAAGTGGAAGAGGGGATGTAGGTGGCCCTGCCAGTTAAAATTACTTCCCCATCATAAAGCTAATGCCCGAGAAAGCTGCCACTCTCTTCGCCACTATAATTACCCCTTTCTGGTGCTGCCTTTTGGAATGTAGTTCTTGACTTGGGTCAGCCGGGGGAAGGAGAGATTAGTCACCTTGAATTGGCCTCCTGAGAAGTCCAAGGTAAGCAAAGCAATTGTAAAACTCATCAGGAGATTCAAGCCTCTAGTTGGTAGAATATGCTTATATTGTCAACACCTGAACTAAACTGTAGGTGCCTTATTTTATAGCTTCTAAGATCACTTTTTAACACTTTATGCCAGGCACTCTTCTAAGAACTTGATAGGAATGACTCTCAATTTTTGCAATCACCCTACTAAAAAAGTACTATTTTACAAGTGAGGAATTGGAGGAAGAGAGAAAAATCAATACACTTGCCCAATACCATGCATATAACTTAGAACTAAGCTGGAATTCAACCCAGGGAGTCTTACTCTGGTATTCAGACTTTTAATAGATAAACTGCAATGTTTTTGCAAGTCTTCAAGTGCTTTACAAATCTGTTTCCTGGACTCTGTATACAGGATGACGGGTCTCATGCAATGGCTTCCTAGCAGTCAAGAGTTATATGGAAATCTGTCCTCTTGGCATTGTTTGACAGCACTGACCCAGCAACTGACACACAGTGTTCACTAACAAATACTTGCCGAGTTGTACTGACTTGCCCTGCTTCTGGAAACCCTCAGTCACCTTGGCTTCTGTAACATCATATACGTTCTTCCTGCCTTTCTGGCACCTCCTTTTGAATCTTCTCTTTTTCCTGCCCATCCATTATACAAAAGAATTCTTCATTGTTTCTTTTTAGGTTCACTTTTCTCCCTGGACTCACCCTCCCTGGTATTCACAGCTACTCCAATTTTTGTCTAAACATTTGTGTTTCACAAATATCTTTTTGCATCACAGTTTCATAGCTAAGATTTAAACTCACATGGTCAACTCTCTGCTGGAATTCAATATCTCATACGTACTCAAAATCAGTCTGCCCAGAATTTAATTCATCTTCGTGCCTCTGGACACTTCTAAGACTCCTTTTCTGTTTATTTTCTCAGTTAATAGTAACATGACCCAAATAGCTACTTGAGACAGAAATCTGGGAATTATTTTGACTCCTCTCTCTCTCTTCTTTGTTTCCTATACCCAATCATTAACCAAGCCCCACCGAGTCGACATTTTAAACCTGTCCACTTCCTTTCATCCCTACAGCCATTGCTATATAGTTTAGGCCACCACTGGCTTGCCCTTAGTTAGAACACCTTGTCAGTTCCAGTTGAATGTCATTCCTTCCATGGGGCCTTTGGGATATAGCTTCTTCTTACTTCTCCACCTACATCTCTTTACTGTGCACAAAGTGCTTCCAATATTTTTAACTGACTTCAGTTCTCTCCTACCTTTTCTGTTCATACTGCTTAGAAAATTCTTCTCCTTGCTTCTCATCTTTCTCCCCCCAACTCCCAACTTGTCTTACTAATTTCTTTCATCCTTCAGGCCTAGTTGCTATGTCACTGTTTCCAGAAAACCTTCCTTGAGCTCCCACTTCTTGGCTAAGTTTCCCTTCTCTGGAATCCCACAGTACACCATATTTCCGCTATTGCAGACAGCACTTACCAACTTGAACTGCAATTATGGTTTTATTTTTGCAAAGGGATACAAACTACGGTAACAACAAATTCCAAATTTTTACTTTGTTCATTTTCATATTGTTTAGTATGTGATATAGTATAAGTTAAGGAAAGAGCCAATAAAAGGCCAGGTCAGTGGCTGTGTGTCCTGTTCCACAGCCATTCAAGAACCTAGGCTTCTGGCTGCTCTGTCACCTTTAAGTTGTGACATTTAAGTCTTCCTACATCATAAGATCTGGATGGTACATGAGGAAAGATCATGGAGGATCATATGTGGAAAGTGTTATAGGTTAAGCCTTGAAATGACAATCCTCACCCCCACTCACAATCCATTGGCTAAGACTCAATACATGACCATACCTAATCACACAGGAGACTAGAAATTGTACTTCACTTTATCTGTGCCAGAAACAAGAAGCCTGGCTTTGGTGATCAGCCATTAGTCTGCCACATTGACTTTTATTCTCACTAAATTATATTCCATGAGCGCAGAGGCAAAATTATTTCTTTTCACTTCATCCCCTATTCACTCAATAAGTATTTGTTAGATAGATAAAGTTATTTATATCCTATCTTTAAAATATTTTTTTCTGCCCAATTTAGTTTCTCTTATACCGTGATCTGAAGCACTTCTAACACATCTCTCGATATGTGACTATATTTGTGGAACTGAGGTGTAATATATATCTTTGGTGTCCATTGGTAGGCTGCATTGCAAAACAACTGCAGTTGATCATCCCTATATGTGAACTCCTTAATAGATTCATAAATCACAATGCCAATTTCTTTACTTATCTTACATATATTTTTTCAGAGATTTGATTACCTATATTTTCTATTTAAGACATACCCTTTCTCAGAGGTGCAGTACCTAGGAAGCTAGGATGCCATTCACTACCATCTAAAGCTTGAGGTTGAATGAGCAGGCTGACTGTCAGAATGTAAGGATATTGCTGGGAGTTGTATACAATCTTCAGTATTCTCTTTATAAAGCCTGGGGAGAAGTTTATTTTTAATCACAATAAAAGGAATTGCTTTGTTTCTCTTGAAAATTGACTACTTTTTATCTTATGATATTCATCAATGACATAACATATACTCCTTATTTCTTAGCATTGTTACTAAAACGTTCTGACCAAATGTGGGACACACAGCTACTAAGAGTAAATGATATCGAGAAATGCATTTTGTATGCTATCCCACTCAGGTTTCAAGGGGACTCAACATACTTTTTCTAACTGTATTTTCCTTGCCCTTATTTTTCCTTTCTCTCTAATTCTTTTAACTTCTTGCATTGCAAATTTATGGGAACCAGTCAAAGTATGTTTTGGAACAAAAAAGAAATACACAGAAATATAATCTATTGAAAATTTGTCTTCCCAAGAGACATAACATGTTTCAGTGGAGTGTGATCGGGTATTTTTCTTCTTTAACCTAATTTGCTTCATCCACAGAGATATTTTTAAATGAATATGAACTAGTCTTTTATTTTAAGAGGAAGAGAGAGAGGAAGAGAGCGAGAAATGATGGAGTATAAAGATAGAGATGACTCTCAAAGCTAAGAGTTGATGTAAATACAAAACCATATTTAGTATGTTAAAATATTATAATGTTAAAAAATCATAGACAGTTGTCAAAATTCACTATAAGATAAATTCCATGGGGGGGTGAAAACCTTGTCTTTATCATTATTTGCATGTAGAATAGAGTCTGGTACACCATAGATCACTATAAGAATGTATTTTGAAGGTATAAGTGTAACGTACTTGGCTTTAGTTAGGAAAACTGGGTTATTATCAAATAAATGATGTTGAATATTCAGTATGTAACAATAGCATATGTCTTTTGGACCCAATTTCATAACATAAAATAAAATGAATATTATATATGCGCTAAGATTCCTTCCAACTATAATATTCAATGCTCTGAATTCCATCCTTGTTAATAGTAGTGGCAGAGTTAAACTTATATGTAAATATCTATAACAATTGGGAAAATTTGTTTTCAAAATAGGATATCCAGCTACATCTTCAAAAGCTCTCGTAGATGTGAGTGCATTGACTCCAAACAACAAGCCTCAAAGTGAGTATAGCAAGGCTTTCCTGAAATGATTCAAAAGAAACAGCAGGCTCACAAGTTTTACTGCAGATAGGATAGTGTTGAGGTCTGGGCGAAAGGCTTTATTTTCTCATTTGATGTTGCTATTTTGGGTTTGAGTTACTTGTAATTTGTAATCTGGTTATTATATATTGACATGGCAATCACTATAATCTTAAAAATAAGGGTTGGTGATTTGTTATTAAACCACACCTTTTATTTGTCAAGGGATTTTAAGGTAATATTTAAGTAATCTTGACAGTACTCCCAGTGATCTGAGTTGGTGAAAAGAACAGAAAAAGAGAGCAAATCATAACAAGTTGGCACAAAATATAAGCTGCAGAGCTTTTGCTCAATATACCAGCTAATGTTCCCGCATAGGGAAGCATATTTTCAATTTTCAAATTTCCCCAGTCAAATAGGTTAAAAATTCAACACATCAAAGCAAAGTTAAATTACAGCTCTATAAAAAGATTGGATTCTGGAAATTTTGTCTTATAGCTAGCAATTCCAGTGTGACTACCCAAGGCTTCAACTACTCCTGGACCTCCAGTGGGAAAGACACCAAAAACTGTAAGTATAACTGTGAGTCCCCTTTAGTCCCCTGGGCCTCATTCATTCATCCAACACATATACTGAGTAACTCCTATGCGTTTTACTCATAATGAAATTAACAAATATTTACAAAGCATTTTCCATGTTTAAAGCACTGATGTTGGAGCTGGACAGACATCTGTGAATAAATAAATCTAAGTTCCAAATTCTGGTGGAAGAAAGACAGGCAAATGGTGATAAGTGAGATAGAAAAAATAAAATAGGGAAGGGAGAATAAAGTGTAAGAGTGGGTTGCCATTTTAAATAGAGTAAGGGTGTTTTAAGACCTAAATTTAAGGTAATATCTGAGTAAAGATATAAGTAATGGGAGTAAAAGTGCAAGCTTCAAGTGTACCTGGGGAAAGAGCATCTTAGCAGAATATATATGTCACTACTAAAAATGAAAAAGGGGGCGCAGTGTGAAGCACAGAAATGGTTTGTTATTTTTAACCTGGCCACCTAGCAGCTGCAGTGTCTGCTGCTTTAGTAGGTACTGACCAGATCTGAATAGGAAATACACTGTCTCTTAGTGGTATTAAGACAAAGATCAGCAATGTTGCAACATAGCAAGGGATGTGGCAGAAGTGAAGACCTTGGAGGTCAAAGGGACAGAGCTATGAATTAAGCCTCTGGGCCCTTTGCCATAAGCAGTCTATGTGTATGTTCACTTTGGAAAGCATTTAGGTTGTATATCTAAAATTTCTCAAAATCTATTGTGCCCACTGGCTTAGTCATCTCTCTTGTCCTTAGGAAATAAATGAAAGAGAAACATGTATAATATTGCTTTTTATAGCACTATTGATTTATTTCTTTCATCTCGTTTATGGACATCAGGTTCACAGATTTGGATTAATCATAATTTTTAATTCATGAGAAACTTTCATCAGTAGTCTGTGCATAACTCTCTATAATTTAATGTATCATATTTCTTTTAATAAATATATCACTAATATAAGTTGACCCTTAAACAACATAGATTTGAACTGCACAGATCTACTTACATGTGAAATTTTTTCAATGAATACATGAAGTACTGTAAATGTATTCTCTTCCTTATGATTTCCTTAATAACATTTTCTTTTCTATAGCTTAATTTATTATAAGAATACAGTATGTAATACATATAACATACAAAATATGCATTAATTTAATATATCATTAGTAAGGCTTCTGGTCAATAGTAGGCTATTACCAGTTGTCCTGAAGGAGTCAAAAGTTATATGTGGATTTTCAGCTCACAGGAGTCAGGGCTCCTAAACCCCATGTTGTTCAAGCATCAACAGTAATATACACAGAAGAACCCACTGCTCAAATAAATATGACTGAAAAGGTATTTTTAAAAAGAGCACACAAAGAGATTCACAAGTAAGTGGAACAAGTAAGTAGATATATGTCAAAAGTAACAAGTAAGTAGATACATGTCAAAAGTAGCATGACAAATTACTGTGAAGAGAAGAGAATGTTCAGCAATGGACCTAGAAACATTGATTATTTATAAGAAAAAAAGATTTAAAATGTACTTCTATCATACACATTATACAAAAATGAGTTCCATATACTTTAAATTCTCTACATCAGCAAAACATTAGAATGTAATAAAATAAAGATAAATTTTTTTCCAATCTTTGGGATAGGGAAGAGCTTAAAAAAGAGACATCAAGCACTAACCATCAAAAAAAATTAAAAATAGAATTAAATAAAATTAAGAAAAAAATTATCTAAAGACACCTTAAGGAATATAAAAATAATGAAAGCTATAACCTGGGAGAAGATACTTGTCTCACATGTAATTTAAAAAATTGAGATATATAATTCATAAAGGATCAAAACTTTATACAAGGGTATATTAAAAATGCCTACAAATCAATAAGAGAACAATACAGAAAACTATAGAAAATGAGCAAGCAGGAATATTACAAATCATGAAAGAAGTGGCTAGAAAAAGAGATTCTCAGCCTCTCTAGAAATCAGGAAAGGCAAATGAAGACTAGAATCAGATAACTATTTTATACCTAATCAATTAGCAACAATTAAGAGGTCTGTAATTAACAAGTGTTATACAGACTGTAAAGTAATGTAAGTTTTTATATATTGCAGGTGAGAGTATAAATTAGTACCATCACTTTCTACCACTTTGACATTGTTTTTATTTTTTTATATTTTTATTTTTTTTATTGTTCGAATACATTTGTCTCCACCTTCTTGCCATCACTTTCCCCTGCCCCTCTTCCTCCACCTCCCTCCCTCAATCTTTCCCCACTTTGGCTTTGTCCATGGGTCCTTTATACATGTTCCTTGACTTGATCCTTCCCTTCCCTTTCCCTGCCCCCACATCTTGATTGTGTTGGTTTCTTTTTTTCTTTCAATGTTCCTGGTTATATTTTCCTTGCTTGTTTGTTTTGGTGGTTAGGTTCCACTTATAGGTGAGATCATATGGTATTTGTCTTTCGCCCCTTGGCTTATTTCACTTACCATAATACTCTCTAGTTCCATCCATGCTTTTGAGAAGGGTAGTAGCTCTTTCTTTCTTTCTTTCTTTCTGCTGTGTAGTATTCCATTGTGTAAATGTACCAAAGTTTTTTGATCCACTCATTTACTGATGGACACTTAGGTTGCTTCCAGCATTTGGCTATTGGAAATTATGATGCTATGAACTTTGGGATGCATAGGTTCTTTTGAGTTGGTGTTGTGGGATTCTTAGGGTATAATCCCAGCAGTGGAATCACTGGATCAAAAGGCAGTTCCATTTTCAGCTTTTTGAGGAAATTCCACACTGTTTTCCACAGTGGCTGCACCAGTCTGCATTCCCATCAACAGTGTACTAGGGTTCCCTTTTCTCCACAGCCTCGCCAGCACCTGTTGTTTGTTGATCTGTTTATGATGGCCATTCTGACTGGTGTGAGGTGGTACCTCATTGTGGTTTTGATCTGCATTTCTCTGATGGCTAGTGATGCTGAGCATCCTTTCAAATGCCTCTGGGCCCTCTGTATCTCCTCCTTGGAAAAGCATCTGCCCAGGTCCTTTGCCCATTTTTTGATTGGATCGTTTGTCTTCTTGGAGTGGAGTCGAGTGAGTTCTTTATATATCTTGGAGATCAAACCTCTATCTGATGTATCATTAGCGAATATATTTTCCCATATGGTTGGCTCCCTTTTCATTTTGCTGATGTTTTCTTTTGCCGTGCAGAAGCTTCTTATTTTGATGAGATCCCATTTGTTTATTCTTTCCTTTATGTCCCTTGCTTTAGGAGACATATCAGTGAAAAAATTGCTGCATGGGATATGAGAGTTTCCTGCCAATGTTCTCCTCTAGGACCTTGATGGTGTTGCAACTTATATTTAAGTCTTTTATCCATCTTGAGTTTATTTTTGTGTATGGTGTCAGCTGATGATCCAATTTCAATTTTTTGCATGTAGCCATCCAGCTCTCCCAACACCATTTGTTGAAGAGGCTATTATGGCTCCATTTTATGCTTCTGCCCCCTTTGTCAAATATTAGATGCCCATATAGACCTGGGCTTATTTCTGGGCTTTCTATTCTGTTCCACTGGTATATGGGTCTGTTCTTGTGCCAGTACCAGATTGTTTTGAGTATAGTGGCTTTGTAGTAGAGTTTGATGTCCAGTATTGTGATCCCTCCTACTTTGTGTTTCTTTCTCAAAATTGCTGGGGCTATTCGGGGTCGTTTACGGTTCCATATAAATTTTTGAAATGTCTGTTCTATTTCTGTGAAATACATCATTGGTATCTTAATAGGGATTGCGTTGAATCTATAAATTGCTTTGGGTAGTATGGACATTTTGAGGATATTAATTCTTCCAATCCATGAGCACGGTATATGCTTCCATTTATTTGTGTCTTCCTTAATTTCTTTTTTCAATGTTGTATAGTTTTCTGCGTACAGGTCTTTTACGTCTTTGATTAAATTTATGCCTAGGCACTTTATTTTTCTTCTTGCTATATCGAATGGTATTTTTTCTCTGATTTCTTCTTCTTCTATTGCATTGCTGGTATACAAAAATGCCTTTGATTTCTGAATGTTGACTTTGTATCCTGCTGTTTTGCCAAATTCACTTATTAGGTTGAGGAGTTTTTTGGGTAGAGTCTACAGGGTTCTCTATGTACACTATCATGTCATCTGCAAACAATGATAGCTTAACTTCCTCCTTTCCTATATGGATGCCTTTTATCTCTTTCTCTTGTCTGACCGCTGTGGCTAGGACTTCCAATACGATGTTGAAAAAAAGTGGTGAGAGCGGACATCCTTGTCGTGGTCCCGATCTTAGCGGGAAAGCTTTCAGTTTTTGCCCGTCGAGTATGATATTGGCTGTAGGTTTTTTTATATATGGCCTTTATTACGTTGAGGAATGCCCCATTTATTCCCATTTTGCTGAGCGTTTTGATCATAAATGGGTGCTGTACCTTAACGAATGCTTTTTCTGCATCTATCGAGATGATCATGTGGTTTTTGTCTTTTCTTTTATTTATGTGATGTATCACGTTTACTGATTTGCGTATATTGAGCCATCCCTGCATGCCTGGGATGAATCCCACTTGATCGTGGTGGATAATCTTTTGAATGTATTGCTGGATGCGGTTTGCCAATATTTTGTTGAGGATCTTAGCATCTATGTTCATCAGCGAAATTGGCCTGTAGTTTTCTTTCTTTGTAGGGTCTTTATCTGGTTTTGGGATCAGGGTGATGCTGGCCTCATAGAAAGAGTCTGGGAGTCTTCCTTCCTCTTGGATTTTTTGGATAAAATAGAATTTAAAGCAAGTACAACCAACCATCATACAATTTAGGCATAATATGTGACAAACTTTTTTTAAAAATTATATGTGAACAATAGACACAACATTCAGAACAGGGTTTGCTTTTGAATGGGCATTCCAGGGATGGGACAAGGTAGACATATAATATTATTTAGAATAAACAAAACATCTGTATGTTTAAGTGAGAGTGATGGGGTGTTTAAGAAG